ATATATATATCTATATATATAACACCATATTGTTTGTTGTATAATAATCGTTCGATTTTACTACGTATTGACAGACTGATTTTTTGGATTGATTTATAAATGTGTACACTTATAAGTCCATGCCATTGTCTTCATTGTATTATGATTTCCATAGAATATTGCAGAATCAGTCTTCCCCTTCATTGGTTTGTAGAGCTCTGCTAGTTTTTTGAGACCCAAATCATATGTACCGTATGCTATAAACTATAGTGTACGAATTTTACGAACATCACCCGAACATTTGAAAGGAACAAAGCGTGTGTTCTGGATACTTTTATAAAGATGTGAATAATTTAGATTCGCTAACCTGCTTTTTTTTCGCTATGCTTTTTGGTTGCATAGCCAGAATGAGAAACATTTGTAATGTGAAGATGTGATGTAAATACTTTGTCCGCTGATCCCAGTAGTGCTCCGTTATATGAATGCTTGGTGTAGGTCTAGCAAAGGGGGCAGCCGATAGGAAGAAGCCTATATATATAGAGAGAGAATGATTTAAAGGGAAGAGGGCTAATTTGGATGTCTGTCACTGGTGTAAGTGTACAACGTCTGATTGTGATCCTCAACTCACACTCGTGGCCGTGTCATCCCCAGTGATCAATGTCTCCTTATATTACGTCTAATCGTGTGAATAATCGTTTAATCGATAAACAATTTCATACATGTTGCGAGGTTAAGGGTTTAAATACGAGATAGTGAAAGTGGCCCCACTAGATTAAGAAAATTAGATCTGATCTTTCCTCTCCTGACTCCTATTGATTAGTTGGCGGCTTTGGCTGATAGGAGGCCATCACTGCGGGCTTGCTATAGCATTGATTTCCTGGGATAATTACTCTAGACACCTTCAGGAAACATACCTCTATAATGTGCTCAGATCCATGTCAGGGACGAGTGTGATTTCAGGATTGTAAATGTGTGCTAGAGTCAGGTGGCAGCAACTAAAAGCTTGCCATACACCTTGCTATCCGCTTTTGCGAATGGAATTGTACAATCTAAACGTGTCTGAACCCGATCCAATCAAATTTGTCTAAAAATGGGTATTATATAAACTGGAAAATAAAAAGGACCACAAACCTCACAACCTCCTTCTTAAATTATGATTAAAATATATTTTCCTTATTTGTACCATTGAACCTAAATTTAGGAGATGATGTGATCAGATTGTAAAGTGTGTGTGATGACCTTAATGATGTGTGTAAAATTGGCCATTCAGAGAAAGATCGAAACTGAGAAATATTACTATGATATTCCATGTGACATATGATTGTACTTTCAATGGTGACAGATATATTTTAGAATAAAATGGCCCTGTACTCCGAGGGGTCATCTTTAATGACAACATTTGTCAAAAATTATCCTCTCCATGCAGGGCACGATTTTTCCCACAAGGTTTGACCGATATCTGTCATTCTGATCGTTTGCATTTATCATTCACACTTGTCAGATCTTTATTGCATGGTAGAAAACAAATACAGTCGGCCACACAAAAAATCGTAGATGTACGAATTACTGTGTAGAGTATGGACCTTCTTAAACCCGCCATTTAAATAATATCCCAACAGGATGATTCTCACTTTATATGATGGCTGTTGGTAAATGCTGCTGATCTGACAGATCAAACCTGGAACTAAACCTGACTGTGTTTGGGCAGCACAAGCAACTGGGGAAATGGCTGTTGGCTGTAGAATCTAATACTATTATGATCTGCCTAGTACCTGTGCCTAGTACCTGTGTTATATGTGTCACAGGCCATCCTCAGCAGATAGACATTGGTCCCTCAGTATTCAGCTAGGTGAATGATTTCCAGATCACATTACACAGTACATTTGTCCCAGGTTTGCACGCCTTTGCCCCGGTACAGACGTCCCAGCTTCCCACTGTGCTCCTTATTTCCAAGCTTGCTTTGTACACAGGGAGATAGAAGCAGCCAATGTGCCTCTTTATACGGGTCACTGGTTATGTTCACTTGCTGTGTATCACACCCATTCTCTCCCCTTCCTCTAAACATATATTGCTTATCATTGCTTTCATTAACACGACCTTCTGTTTTTTTATGAAGAGAGGTATTGGTTAAAATAAAAAGCAAAAAAAAAAAAAACGAACCTCCCTCTATCATTTCTTAAGCCCGTGATAAATTATATAGAAAAGGACATCAGCTCTTTGGCACAACATAAATCACAAATGGAAGAAAGATGCTTATATTTGCAAAACTGCTGCAAGTTGGCTGCTTTCCAGATTCGGCACAATTCCCTGTCCATCGTGTAACACTGCATTGTATCCTTCTCAGTGTTGTGGAAGGTGCAATGAATAATAGTGTGATATGTGCACATTGACTTTTTGCCTTCAGCACTGTGGCCAGGCTCGGATCACAAAGCTAACTCACAGGGATCCTTATTTTTTTTTTAAGGTGCAAGTTATTTTCCAATGAGTCCAATGAGATTTGAAAATTACATGGCTACAATTAAGATCCCTATCTTTGTGTTAAAGCTTTGTGATTTGAACCTAATGACAACAAACAGTCATCTAATAGTAAATGACAAATGATTGTTCCAAGTATGTCTGGACGATTATGAGAGAGAGAAAGGAGAGAGAGAGAGAGAGAGAGAGAGAAATATTGAGATATTGAGAGAGAGGAAGGGGTAGAGAGAGAGAGAAAGGAAGGAAGGGAGAGAGGGAGAGAGAGAGAGAGAGAGAGAGAGATGATTTCTAAGGGACCAATGCCTTTCAGAGAGAGATTTCTTATGAATAGAAAGATAGATAATAGATAGATAGATGCATATTTAGAATAAAAACACTAATAATACCTTGGAGCTGTCATACATATATTTCCATTGACACAGCCTGGTTTGTTTTGATTGAGAACCCTTATACTCCTCTCACATTTAAAACAGCAATTACATCAATATCAAACCCAGCAGGTGGCCCATCAATCCCCCTCGAATGATGAATTAGCCAAAGTGATCTAGAAATTGCCCTGTTCGTGCACGAAATGCCATTATCATTCCTTTTTGCTACACCTATTTTCAATCATTGTAATTATTAACCTTCATTTGCAGTTTCACTAAAAGTATAAACGCGAAGTTATATTAAAAAGCGGTGCCTTAAAAATATCTCAACATCCTCCAACAGTTTTCCAAGCGACTTGGCATTCGTTGTAAATAAACAGGCTAATTATGATCCTTTAAAGCATAATTCTATATAGTACAATAATGCAATGAGGCAATTTACAGAAGAAGTTGAGAATCTTCACTCAATAAATTGTGTGAAGGTTTACTTTTATTATCCTATCCTGTGTAAAAAGGAAATTCCGGCTTATGTATTTCATCTGGGTATTCATAGTGAAAGCAGCTACAATTTACTGAGTTAAAAAATCTCAACTAATTTAGTAAATCAGCCTCATAGTGTTCACAGCAAAAAGGTTTCTATAAGAGTCATCTTCTTGTTGTAATATTTTAATTGCTGATGAGTAAATGATCGGATCTGAGCGATTGTATTAAAAACCCCCAAAATGAAATGTGATAAAGGAAAGCTTAGCATTGCTACATACATGCGAGTGACGGAGAATTATATTACAATGTGTTATTAATGACAGGTTCATGTAACAATAATCAGTTCTAGTCTGGCCAGGAAATGTATCCATACAAATATGTGATGGTAACATTGTGTCAGTAGACTGATTCTTGCTGATTCTTTACTAGTGTCTTCTCCTTATAACCTTATACCACCGGTGTACCTTTCGCTGTGGAAATCGCCCTGTACCTCTTTTACTCGAGTAGGCTTGTGAATACAAGATCAAGGAGTGACCTCCCCCTGTTCTCTTATGTCATGGGATATAATGACAATATGGTGTCAAGATGCCTGACACGGCACATAGAATATAGAGAGCATGTTGAAGGAGGCGCTTTACTTCTCTGTGACCCGTGAAATAATCTATACAATTGTTTACTCTTAGCCCTGATCTCACTGTCAAACACTCTATTGTACAAAACACGTGGGATCCACACTTACACACTATTCCTTGTCATAATAGAGTGCCACTCATGTCATCATATCCTAACAAGCATACACCTAATCAGGGCTCAAGTGGGTCTCCATGTACTGGCTGACCTTTCTCATATCCTGCACACATAGATTACTGCACTCCTCTCTTTGCCACAAGATTTGACCCTACGAGATTATTCA